GTCAATCAGCCATACCTGTAAACAAACACCTGTCTATATACACCATCAGGCAGGGGTCAATCAGACATACCTGTAAACAAACACCTGTCTATGTACACCATCAGGCAGGGGTCAATCAGACATACCTGTAAACAAACACCTGTCTATATACACCATCAGGAAGGGGTCAATCAGCCATACCTGTAAACAAACACCTGACTATATACACCATCAGACAGGAGTCAATCAGCCATACCTGTAAACAAACACCTGTCTATATACACCATCAGGCAGGGGTCAATCAACCATACCTGTAAACAAACACTTGTCTATATACACCATCAGGCAGGGGTCAATCAGCCATAACTGTAAATAATCAGCTGTTTATATGAACACCATCAGCAAAAGTTAATCAGCAATACTTGTAATAAATACCTGTGTTTCTACACCATAAGTCACAGGTCTGTCTGCCATTTCTGTAACATGTCTGTATAATCCATTAGTGTTTTAACCTTTGACCCCTGTGAGACTGAATATAGGTCGAAGTCATTTCTTTTTTCAAACTTTGTATGATCATGACTTCATGTCAACAAGTTACTGGCCAAATATCATGACTCCAGGCCATTTGGTTCTTTAGGGGAAAGCATTTGAGCGTCTTAATATTTAAACATTGTGCAATGAATTTGGGCCAAGTGAGCTATAAAGATGTTGAAGGACAAACAACACATGCCTTACCGCAGCCTCAGTTGACTTACCCTTCAGCCAGCCAAAATGTAGAATGTTTATACTTCCCCATATTTCACTGGCAGGAAAACAGTATCCACAACCTTTTTACTTCAAACAGAGCCGGCCACTACTTTTAACAAAGTGACCACAATAAAATTGTTGATAGGATAACTTTTACAGAACTGACCAGACAGGTAACTGTGTGTTCTCCCTTGACCGCCTCAATGACCAGACGGAAGCTTGTGTATAGGTGGCTCTGCTCTACGATCAGGTTAGCGAAGTAGTCCTCCGCCGTCACCTCAAACCTATAATAAACCAACGATAATAAACCTCCAACACAAGTGGAACAATCAACTAAACAATAGTTTTACAATGTACATAGAAACTTTCCAAATTATGACAAATCAGATGGAGGTTATTCAATGCTGCTAAAATTGATAAAAACTACATAATATGTTTTAATTGTGCTTAGATTAATATAAACAAGGCAAAGTATTGCAAGGCAATCCATAGTCCCCCGCTGGTAATGATTTCTATACTTAACTAAAAGTACACTTATGACAGGAAGCATCCAAGATCCTTGTACACCAAATCTGGTTACTCCAGATAAAAAAATAATAAAAAAAGTACAGAAGATATGCCCCGGACAAACTTTTTTTCAAAATTCAAGATCAAAGGTCAAGTCATAGGTCACAGTGACCTAATTCTTGCACTCTGCACTCCGCCATCCCAAGATGTCCTCGTACACCAAATCTGGTTACTCCAGGTGAAATAGTACAGAAGATATGCCTCGGACAAACTTTTTTAAAAGTTAAGGTCGAATGTCAAAGCATAGGTCGCACTGAGGTCATAGTGATCTTCTCCTTGCACACTGCTTTTCGCCATCCCAAGATGTCCTTTTACACCAAATCTGGTTTCTCCAAGTGAAATAGTACAGAAGATTTGTCCCGGACAAACTTCTTGGACTGAAGGAAGGACAGAATGACGGACGGAAGGAAGGACGGACAGAGTGCAAACCTATAGTTTTTCACAGATTGTGTTTGTCTCGAAGATTAAATTGAAAATTTATGGAACCTAGTTTTATATGTAATGGTTAGTACAATGAAAGTCAAGGTCATTCATTTAAAGAAACATGACGGCCCTTTACTTCAGCCAGCTACAGGCTACATATAGTTCGGTAAGCCTATCTGCGTTGGATATTCAGACGAGGTTGTTTGAAGAAGTGGATGTTGATATGATGCTATACAGACAATTGATGCTTCCCAAAATCAGCCATACCTGTAAACAAACACCTGACTATATACACCATAGGAAGTAAATATGTGTAGTGTACGTATGTACAGTACTGAAGAAAGTACTGATCTGATCTGAAAATTGATTTAACACATGTATACACAACATAATATCAAATTTGTCCTTTTTTATAATTGTATCTCTTTTTTTTAAATTAGTAAAAGGATTAACAAATTGAATGGTATAAGGTATACTGTGCTAACAATTTATACTTACTCAGGGCCCCTGTCAATGATTTCTTCAAGTCTATGAAACAGCACGCTATGTCGGAACACCTTGTATACAGGATATGTCCGGGAAAACCCCACATCTAAAACACAGGAAGGCCAGAGTAATCCTTAGCACTCGGCTAGATATTTAAGCACTATATGGGATTACAGTCCCATTCATCCTATCTAGGAGTGGGGGTTACGCTCACTTCAGCACCCCTGGAATATGTCATAGTAAAATCGAAGGCTCAGTGTGCACAACCTTGTGGATTAGATGAGATGAGATGAGATGAGAAGACCAGTTTGATCCTTTAGTGTACATAAAAGAGAATCTGTCGGTCGCATAACAGTAAAATTTACTGGTATTTAGGTCCTGTGCCTCTCCGTTATAATCTTCAAAGGAAAGGTATATCAGCCTAGCGATTGGTCAGGTGTTTTTTTACCTGAGTCACCTGAGTGTATAATTCCCATGTCATGACCGGGAATAAGTCACTAAAGTTCACTTGGCGCCAGGCCCTGGGGCTAATCCTGGTAGCACACTTGTGTTCCTTGCTTCATTGGATGGAGCCTTTGGAAATTATAATGGGAAAATTCCATTGCAGTGATCCAAATTTGGTATTTTAATATTTATAGAAAATTGAACATGAATTGCATTGTTATCTGCATTCTGGGAAATTCTGCAGAGAATTTGGGGAATACATACCAATGCTTTTCCTTAAATATTTTTAGTCATTAATCATGTTAACCTTTGACCCCAGCCAGCACTCAAAGTTGACCTTTGACATAAGCATAATTGATTTTAGTATTTCTGCTGGTCTTCACATCACACCTGAGTATCGTGGATGTACAGTAGTAGATATTATGGTTATTAAGAAAATGTTGCTCTAAGTTTTTATATTTGACCTCTGTGACCTTTAAAGTAGGTCAAAGTCATCAATGAGAGAAAACTTTATAGCACTCTTCTCAATACTGACCAATTATCAGGACCCAGCTGGGTCTCTCAGTTTTCAAGAATAAGCTGCTGAAAGTTGATGTATGGACAACAGACACTGCCCCATACTAAGATGACAGAAGGCGAAAAGGAGACACTACCCTTCATGGGTCCATGCCAAATTCAGCTTTACTGGGCAAAGGACAAAGGATAAACAACAGGTGCATTACTTAATAACTTGGCCCTTCGGACACAGGTATAGGCTTATCACATAACCTCATATCGTTACCTATGACATCTCAAAATTCATAACTTATTGCGCATATTGTCTATCCAAATGATAAAATGTTCAATTCACCTTTCAAAATAAACATTAATTATTGTTAAGTGATTTACATATTTTAATGTACCCCAGGTATATACATTTGGATAATCACATTTTTCTATATTTCATGTGCTTTTGGTATGCATTTGGATTAACGCTATATGTTTCTCAACAACTTCTTGCACCTCCTTCATAAAAGAATTTCACACCAGTGGAGATTGGCAGTCGATGGACAATAAATCGGAAAGATTCATAAGAATTCATTGATAGCATTCAAATAATTGTCAATCATAATATATAGAAATAGCTTATATCACATATGTAATGGCACATATTTAAACACTGATCCAAATCAACATACCTCCCTGTCCTGATCCTTCATGAACTTTGACCCCGAGCTGATTACCACAGCGTTGACAATGAAGGGCCTCACCAGAGGTACGGGTGTGACCAGGCTTGAGGTGGCGCCCTTGTACTAGTAAATAAGTATCCCCGACTAAGCACTGTTTTTCCTTCGGCAGTAACAGCTTTGGGTGTGGTGTGTCGTCATTCTCTTCGCCTTCGTGTTTGTGACAGAACCACATGTCGCTATAATCTGCCCAGTTCTCTGACGGCAGGGCGAGCACTCTCATAAATATACTGTAAACACAACACAAAATATAAACATACTGTAAACAACACACAGAACATCAACCTCTATTTCCCCTATTTGGCCCCACCCCTCTGCCCCTAGGGAGCAACATCCTTCTTTTGTAAAAACTGGAGGCCTTAGCCCTTTGCCCAGTGAAGCATCAGACCAACTTTGGTAAAAATCCATTTATTCATAGAAAAAGTAGTAGTCTTATAAATAAAAATTGACCTCTATTTCTGCTACTGGGTCCCATGCCACCACACAGACTGAAAGGGAGATTCTTGACCCACCGATGTTTTACATCAAACTTGGTTTAAGTTTTACATTTTACAAATTTTATCTCTATTACCGTCTTTTGGCCCTGTCTCCCCCCCTGCTGCTAAGATTTTCCACGACCTTAATTCACACAACATTGAATTTCCTTGGCCCAGTGATGGTCCAAAATTATTGCAAATATTTTCTTGAACAATAAATATATACCTGTACAATTTTCTTGGTCAAAGTCTTGACTATCAAAATTTTAGTAGGTCTATAAGAAATCTGCATCTAAAAGAATTACTACCTATGGTGTTTATGTAAAATCCATGGCAAACACTGAACAATTGATGCCAGAGTTCAGATGGACAACAGACATCTTCATGTAGTGATGGGCTGATGATAGATTATAATAAAAAAAACGATCGGTTAACCCTCTCCATTTCTGATTATCAATTACAGATTCCATAAACGATATAATCGGTTCATCATTAAAGTAGAAGTATTTAAATATTTAAATGTCTTCCATGTAAAGTATGCTTTGAAAGTCATACATGTATATATTGTTACGATTTATACTACATGATTGATAAAAGTGCATAAAAGTTTCTTGAGATCCATTAATTATAAAAGAATGAAACCTATTGTATAGGGGACAACTCTGTCTATTGATGCAATAGTAACGTTCTCACTTTATTTGGGTATTCAGTCCCAAATCATTATATACTGATTATACTCGATCATTGATATGGTTTACTACTTCCGACTACAAACCGATTATCGATTATGATTTTAAACTGATTCCCCATCACTACATTCATGTCATATGCCTTAGCTCAGTGGGCCTTTTGGGCCAGGTGATCTAATTACTGACCAGTGGTCAGCGAAGATCTTCTGGCCACACTTGGCACAGTAGCACTTGTCTTGGTAAAGCTGTATCTTCTCTACAAAGTCCGACTGTTTGGAGTGGTTGGTGTCCATGTGGAACATTCCTTGGTCCATTTCACTGTCCACGTAGATTGTAAACTGGAGCTCACCATCGGGAAAGTACTTGAGACCTCGACATGTAAGGGGAGACAATTTAGCCTCAACGAAGTCACAACAAAGCACTTTTCCTTTTTCTCTTATTGTTATTAAATTCTCCTCCACAATTATTGTCACATTGTCCTTGAATTTATTTGTGAGTCTGAAAAAAATCAATCACTATAGATAAAGCATAAAACATGACTTTTTTTATTTTAATTACACACTGGTTATATTCTGTACGCTTGTCTAGCAGCCTAGGAATATTCTTGGTGGCAAGCTAACTTTTCTAAGCGATTGGGGTATTACCCTCGGACTCGCTCTGAATAAGTCAAGTGACATGGAACATGCGGTCAGTGGCTGGATGGGTGCCCTCCTCCATGTTTCAGTTTGGCTTATAGTCATATGTATACAAGTGCAGGGATAATCCTGGAGGGGTCATGGGGCCATTGCCCCCTCAAAACTGAAGTTGGCCCTCCATGTTCCAATTTTCTTTAAATTTTTCATAGAATGGCTCCTCTTAATTTTGATATAATCTAAGTAAAAATGGCCCACAGCTCTTAAATTCCAGGATTTTCCCTGCACATGGCCTCTGTTAACAATATAACAACAAAATAAAGCATCGTACAACACAGTAAATAAACATTTTCAAGAATAATACACGGATTACACACTATCTATAAAATAATTTTAGAGCATGGTTCTGTTCTGTAGGTAATGGACTTATTGATTCTGAATATATTTATTAACAAACACATGTAGCTACATCACAACACATGTGGAGCTATGGGTGATCATTACAGGTTGTTTATATCTTCAATTTCAGTACAAATGTAATGGAAACCGACTGTGCACGTTCTACTTAAATTAAAATCTCCTCATGTGTTTGCCTCCATTACCTATGTCCTACTAATGTCCACTGTAGACAAACGTGACCCCATTCGCAATGTCTCTCCATTTATCTACGAGCACGTTCTACAGTATACTGAATTTTACCCTCCCCCTTACCGGTCTACGGGGGTGTTTCCAACATGTCCACATCAATCTAAAAATGTTTGCCTTGTGTCTTTATTGTTCCATATTCAGACTCACCTGTCGCTTATTATCGAGGTATTAAGCAATGACAGCGCTCTTTTATACTCGCAGTAAAACATTATCTCTCCACCCTGATGTCGAGATAGCTCGGTCAGCGCCATTTTTGTGGATTTCCCTTTAGCCTCGTTTTAGAAAATAGGAATATTCCCGTTCTATATTTTTCGTGTGGGAGTCTCCAACCACAGGATCTTCAAGTTCCTGTGCTCCAACAGGTCGCTCCTCAGACATGCGATGGAGATATCATGGCGAAATATCTGGGTTTCTCTTTATTTCTTTCTCACTGTTTTACATATTTGAAAAATAAATCAATAAAAAGAATAGACAAATTAAACTCCAATTTCAAAAGTATTGTACCGTTGTTCATGATTTGATGATTCAAGTTCCACTACACATCCCTGCCTACGTCTACTCAGAAATTTAAAACCACAAATTTCGGAGCTCGTTTTTTATTTCCATCTTTAATGTTTTTCCCTTGCTCAATATTAATCTATTTTCTTATAAACCCGTTCTATAATTTAATCAGTTTTCAGTCGGGCGTTACATGATTTTGTCCCTCTCCCGGGCCTACTTCGGACCCTATACAACAGTAGTTTATCCCCCTTTCTTAATGTTTTATGACAGATTCTAAACCAAGTGTTTTATTTTCCTTTTTCAAACTTGAATTAGCATTATCTTAGTTTATGTTCAATGAAACAATTCCGAAATGTACCTGTCTGACGGCATCAATAAGACTTTCGCACGTGTGGGCTGTCTTTATTAAAACCTTTTCAATGTACATACACTAGCTATTATCATTAAAACATTAAAACAAGTTGTAAGATATCCCTAACTTCCGTGATTCGTTTAATAAATATGTCTTTTTTTCACCTTTCTGCTAAAAATAACCGTTTGGGCTTCTGGCACGAACGGACTTCCAATCAGCAATAATTCCGTTATTTTTTAACATGACCGGGACACTTTTATAATTAGTATCAAATTAATTTATTTCTTATAAGCATACTGATATGTAACCTCTTCACTTTTTCCTAATTCCGGGATCCCAGTCCCTGCACGAGTCAAAATGACTAATGGTTTAATTATTCATAGCTTTAAGTCATATCACGGCGAAAGGAAAAAGTAAAGGAGAGGAGAGAAAAAAGGCGAAGGTTTAATATTTTATATGAAATGAAAAACAATTTAACCCCGACTGTTTATCGGCCCTTTTGCCAATCACAGTGGGTTACAGCGATCGGTACAATCACGGAATTAGATTATATCTAAGTCCGTGGTACAATCACGGAATTAGATTATATCTAAGTCCGTGGTACAATCACGGAATTAGATTATATCTAAGTCCGTGGTACAATTAGATTATATCTAAGTCCGTGGTACAATCACGGAATTAGATTATATCTAAGTCCGTGGTTCAATTAGATTATATCTAAGTCCGTGGTACAATCACGGAATTAGATTATATCTAAGTCCGTGGTACAATTAGATTATATCTAAGTCCGTGGTACAATCACGGAATTAGATTATATCTAAGTCCGTGGTTCAATTAGATTATATCTAAGTCCGTGGTACAATCACGGAATTAGATTATATCTAAGTCCGTGGTACAATTAGATTATATCTAAGTCCGTGGTACAATCACGGAATTAGATTATATCTAAGTCCGTGGTTCAATTAGATTATATCTAAGTCCGTGGTACAATTAGATTATATCTAAGTCCGTGGTACAATTAGATTATATCTAAGTCCGTGGTACAATAAGTCCGTGGTACAATTAGATTATATCTAAGTCCGTGGTACAATCACGTAATTAGATTATATCTAAGTCCGTGGTACAATTAGATTATATCTAAGTCCGTGGTACAATCACGGAATTAGATTATATCTAAGTCCGTGGTACAATTTACGGAACCAATATAATTACAATATTCCTTCTTTCAGACTCTCCTCAAGTAACTCTTCTTTTCTGCCATCGAGTTTACGTCTTTGGAATTTGTAAGACAATACAATAAGAACATCACCACGTTTAAATAATTTCAAATCTTCTATATCTAGTGGTGCAAATTCGTCTCCGCCATCTTATTGTAATTAACGCAATTTAAATATATATTACATACGAAATTCAGGCTTCAGTGCAGGTCTTTGAAAAATGATTAATTCAGTATTAATATTATTGATAATCCAGCATGTGTTTGTAGATATTCCTGTGAGACTGTTCGCCATTTCTGATACAGCAAAGATTACGTTTATATTTACAACAAGTATGAAACAAGTTTTTACAACTTATACTCATCACTCTTGTTGGCCCGGATGTTAGCGCGGGGGGGGGGGGGGGGCTAAGTGTGGGAGGAAACCGGAGTACACGAGAAAACTCACGTGGTCTGGCAGGTGACCCCATACCTATTCACATGCGATCGGGGAATTGAACCCCGGCCGCCTTGGTGAAAGGCATGCAAGTGCGCTATCCACTGCGCCACCCGACCAACCATCCTTAATTAAGTTTTACATCCAGTCAATTTATATTTAATAGTATTTGGTAATGGAAATCTGTCCGTAGATACCAATACAGAAGTATTCAGACACGTGCAACTGTTCATCAAATCCAGCAATAGGTTTTAAGTAAATTATAATAATTGTAAAATATATTATGTATGCCTCGTTAAATCGGCTATCATGTATATATCAATATGCACTGTATTAGAGGAAAAGGCGTTGATAAGTTCATTTAACTTGTGCCTAATCCTCAGCAATAAATATGTTTAAATCAAGGAAAAAGTATAATATCTCAGGTTTCTAAGTGATCGTGAATCCCCTACCTACAGAGGCTCCCAAAACATGACACATTAGGTACATTATAGATAAACAGAGATGATATGAAATTAAACTTAAAATAAACGAAGCAGGTTTAAATCACTATAGAGTGGAATATACATATGCTTTAAATCAGACACAAAATTTTGTTTGATAATGGAAATATTTCACCTACTATATGAATTTTTTTTCCAATACTCTTTTGCATTAACAACCAGATTAAGAATCGATAGACCACGCGGATAGACTGAAGAATTGTATACGGTCTGTTGATTAGTTGAACCATTGGAAAGTTGGACCAGTGAAGTGAATGAAGAGACCGATGCATTATAGTACTGTATATGACTCTGTGTCTTAAGTCACATTTATATTGTACAGGAAACTTGATTGCACGAAACCCAGAGATGTGGTCAGGATGATGTCTTCATATTGTAATTTCAGTGCCTTGATATCCGTTTATTTATTTCATTTATTATTTACTCATTGTAATAACAATGCAACGCTTGACGTATTAGGCTGATATTTTATCAAATATTAATTATATAAAATGGGCGAAATGAGATATGTAACATTTATTTATATTTTTCTTTATTTCACTTTCACAGTATCCACTCCGCAATCAGTACCTGACTCCTGACCACATGTGCCTGTGACGTCAGATGGCCAAACATGGGTATACCTGACCCCTTACATCTTTGTTAGTTGTGGGGTATATTCCCCGACTGGTAGTGACCTACAGGTAGATAATTACCCCATGCTCTCACCAAACAAGAAGTCTTGACCTTGGTTGACCTCTGGGTATACCGTTATTTGTTCAGGGGTAGTGGATGGGCGTCCCTCTAACTACCACTACAGCCAGAGGTTTACTATTGAGGACCTCTAATACAAGTGTTTTCGTAGGTTTTCTCCGGGTACTCCAGTTTCCTTCCATATTTAGACCCTCTGCGTGCTACCATCCGTGTCAACAAGGTCGACTCCTCCTCAACCGAATAGACCAACAAAACTTTAATAGCATGCTCTGCACTCATTTAGTTTTGCACCTCAGATTTACATTTCGGTTTCGGCTTTTCAGAGTTGTTTCCCTTGACTATTAAGTCATTTTAAGCACTATCCGCATACATTATACATCATATAGTGTATGTTCACAGTTACAGTGGAACTTCCTGTGAGTGATACCACGGACCTAGATCTAATCTAATTCCGTGGTGATACACACATATTTATATATACTTTTAACTCTTCTTTGGATTCAAGATGGCCGCCATGACCTCATTGGCTGAGACAACAACAACTATACCTTGAATTAACGGTGCAGGCTTTGTTGATTCTTTGTTTTGTTTTTCTTTTGTCCTATATCTACGACAGTTGTCAAGAGCTTGTCCGAATATCACGACTTCCGTGGTAGATGTCGACTGATGACGGAAAAACTAATAGCGCAGGGTTTCCAAACATGCATGTTGATTTTCAATTTCAAAAGTATTTTATTGACAATACATATATAATACAAACATATAAGTTAACATTAAAGAAGATATTAGAACACTATTGACAAAAGAATAAGACAACAGGCTTTGCCTATATCAGTCTTCTTCTATTTCCAGTAGCTATGTACAATGCTTAAATATATAAAATGTTGTGATTCGTTTTCCTCTCACATAAATGCACACCCACACCCACACCAGCGTATGTCTAATACTCGCTATTTAAGGGATAAAACTTGCCTGAATAATAATAATAATAATAACAATACATGAATATTCATTTGGAATTTATCTAGCACGTATAAGTAACGAAACGTTTTGATGATTTAATATAAGAGTCAACATGTATAAGAATAGTTTTATTTAATTGGTTGGATGCATTACTAATACCATATACTAAACAGTGCAGATTTAAATATCCTACTAGATTATAAATAGTGGTAATATGATGCCTAATATTTGAATACAGAGGACATCGAAAGAAAAAATGTATTAGATCTTCCCTCTGTACACCACATACACAGGAAGCATCATCAATCAGATGGTCTTGTAACTTATCAAAGTTAAGATCACTTTTAAAATGTCTTAGCTGACAAAAATGATGATAAGTTTCCTCGGAACACAGTTAATAAAAGTTTCTGAGACGGATGTATCAAAGTTTTTTTTAAGTTTCTTTTTAAAAGATGAAATTGAGATGGAGTTTCGTACAGTGCTATCAAGTGCATTCCATTTTACCATTGTAGAAGGGAAGAAGCTATTCATATAAGTAGTAGTTCTTGTCTGTGGTATATTAAAGAATCTGTTATTTCTGAAGGTATAGTTATTAT